AGCCAACAGACGGCAGAAGAATTGCTGTGGCTTTTATCTGACTAATTTTATTATATTTGTTCTGCGTCTCTGTTTTCTCTTCAACTGTGATGACTGTCTTTTGCTTAATACAAGATTTGCTGTTCAATCAGCTCCAAAATCGCATCAACAGGCCAATAAGTTGGTGGCATCCTCTCATCATTACTATAATTGGCCAGTAAGAACCCTCCAGCTCTCAAAAATTACTCCTTTGTACAGTAGGGTGTAAAGAGAACAACGTTTTGCTAGTGTGAGCTGTAAACTGATATTTGCACAATTTATTTGTATTTACTTTGCCTTATTTTATCCTCTCCATCAGGAGCTAAGGGAATTGTGTAGCAATTGGGCTCTAAGTGAGATGAATCTAGCAGCTGGAAAACACAGTTCAGAGCGAAATGGATAATGTATGTTCACAGTTGCTTAAATAACATGTGTTTTAATGCAGGACTGTGCCACACTTTTTTTTTTTTTTTTTTTTTTTTTTTTTTTTTTTTTTTTTTTTTTTTTTTTTTTTTTTTTTTTTTTTTTTTTTTAATATGAAATATGCACTACAATAGGAAAAGTCAACGTATTGGTGTTAATGGGGAATCTTTCCAAGACCTTACTTTCAAGTGGACAGAACAGTACCAAGTTGGGATAGCCAAAGGTGAATACAAACAAATTGGCTAGTCCATTAGCATAGCTGTCCAGCTGTATCCTGGGCTCTGAGGCCACTCCAAAACCACAAGCCCAACCGCCTCAGAAGCCTGCCAAGGAGCCAGCTGCTGCTAATAAAGCAGACTCTACAACTTGGCATCTGGGGCCTGTGATTCCCATCCAAAAGGAATTGTATGTGAAAAAATATTTAAAATTTGTCTTTTTAAATAGTGTTTTGCTTTGGAAGAAAAATGCTTTAGACTAATCTTGCAACAAGTGAAAAACTACATAAGAGTGCTGTGGCTGCCATGGGAAGATAAATACCGTTCTTGCATAAGGAGGTTGGATGTTGGAAGGAGTAGTGTTGTTCATTTAGTAACCAAGAGGCTTCTGGTTCAGCATTTCTGGGTTATTGAGTAAGAAAGACCAAGGTATCTCATTATTCATGTTTAGCTGTGCGCACTTGCATGGGACGCTTTGTTTCAGAGAGCTCAATGTGTAGGGTTTAAGTGCAAGGGTGTGTTCCTGAGACTGGTGAAGAATTAAGCACATTAATTTCTTACCTTTAAATAATGAAAAAGGAGAAATTTCATTCATTTTTCAAAGATGAAAACAAATCCTATTAGCCAGCCATGCTAAATTAATAAGCTTCTTGGAAGAATCTACAAACCAGATCAGTCCCACCACACTCCCCATTGAATAATGAAGCATGAGGATTGAAAAATGAGTTGGTTGCATTGGTTATTTGAAAAATTAATGGCAAAGCCATTCCAGCTCCCTTTTGAAGTAAAACATGTAGATTTTGCCTAATACATTTTTTTCTAGCACTGCAGGTCCTGCGCTCGGCTGTGTTGGCAAAATGTCTTTCCCAGATTTCTACAGCTGGTGTCAGGGTGTTTTGAGCCAGTCTGGAAAGTGGTGCTCCTCTGGCTCTCATGAAGCTAAGTGCTTTGTCCCCAGACATGGGGAGGGCCAATAAAAGAACACGGCCCAAATTTCCTGCTGTCAGGTAGGCACGTGGCTCCCCAGGCAATGTCCCCCTTCGGCATTGTCCGGGATCCTGTAGCAAGTGGTCCATATCTGGGACCATCATCGGGTTGCCATTCATTTCTTTCACTCCAGTTATTATGTGGAGATTAACGAACCAGACCCTTTGCTCATTTGGAGGCAAACACATACTTTTGCCATCAGTCATAGACTCATCGGCTCAGGAAACAAGAATTCAAAGCTTTCTTCTGACCTGAAGCTTTTAGTCTGGCAACCGGCCAGAAGATATCATCAGCCCTAGTACAGGCAATTTTGTAATCTTTCTGCCGATGGTATTCTGGGGTATTGGATACGTATGGAAATTACTATGGGCTGCAGTGGCTGAGATTTATTAGCAAAGAGGGTTTGGAGTACAGCAGTGCTGGCTGCTCTGAGAAGATTGGCATCCTCCAAAGCTGAGTACAGCCACTTCTCTGCCCACCCTTAAGGCATCTCTGTGGATGCTGCTTGAACCTGGGCGTTTGTGAGTGCCTATTGTCTGAGCAGCTCTTGCTTGAGAGATGACCTATTCCATGGCCTAACATGGCCTAACTCTCTGGGTATACTGAGGACTTTTTTTTTTTTTCTTTTTTTTCCCCACAGCTTTGGACTTAAAATCAGTGTAAATATAATTCATGTTCACTTCTAGGTCCCCTTTCAGGTGGTTGAGAGGGATAAAATGTCTTAAGCTTAAATTAGAATTAGGCCCCCAGTGCTTTCCTCTGTGTGAGGATAAAGATCTTATAATAGAATGAAAATTACTCTTTGTATTTCAAAGGTATACTTCCACTTGTTTTTTTTCTTGCTTATTAGGTTGGTGTGAGAATAGGTCATTTACTCATTATCCCCTGCTAAGACATATATAATAATAACAATTAATAATTAAAGTACACAACGCTTTATTGGCTTACAGAAAATTCTGTCCTTGCTTTACATCATTTACGTGCATTCAGTGTGTATGGTAAACTTGCAAGTGTGGAGTAAAGCAGTAAGAATGTTTCCTTGAGGTTTTTTTTTTTTTTTTAATTTTTTTTTCTTTTAAGTTTATATTACCAATGCCCAAAATGTGCAAGATTGCCACAGGATATTTCCCAAGATCTTGATATACTAAAGCAAACCTGTGCTACACACAGTCACATCTACCTCTGCCATGGCTCTGGAGTGCCCGAAGATGTAAATATGCTTTCAGCCAGGATGTTCTAAGTTGCATGTTCTATGTGTTTGTTGGAGGTTACCATTCCCTGCAGTTTTCCCCCACCGTGCCCTGGCATGGAGCTGATTTTCAGGTTGTGCCCACAGCACTGGGGCTCGGTTGAGGTGGTTCCCTGTGCTGGTACTTGGGGCTGCTGCTTCAGCTCTCTGTTTCTGGGAATGACATTGAAGCTCTGGTGGGTGGGGATTACCCAGTGATAAAATGTGTGCGCAGAGAAATATGATACGTGTGTATTAAATGCTTTCAATTGTCAGCAAAAGCATCTACACAGATACTCGGGGAAGGAAGCTCATCACTCTTTTACCGTAGGTGAGAGCAAATGTCATTACTTGCTGGCATGGTGATCGCACTGTCTGTTAAACTATCTTTCCTTTTAATGAGTCCTACTTGAGTCACGTTACAACCAGGCTAGATTGCAGAGGAATTCTGCTGTCTTGACACTTGATGGGTTGTTCCCACTCTCCTGGTTCAGATGGGAGAAACTGGGAAGAAGGAAGGCAGGCAGCATGAAAGGCATCGCTGCAAGCATGGCGCTTTGTATATTTTATCAAAGCCTCTGAGCTTCACCTATCACTGATGGTCTCCTTATGTTCTCCAACTTTTTTTGGCTCTTCTAAGTAAACGGACTTGTTTGGAAGAGTTTAGAGCTACTAATTTAAAAATATCCATCTACCAAGGCTCTGATTTAGTGACTACGTAATTATAAGTGCTAAAGTTGAGCCACTGAAATGAAAGGGGCAGTTGATTAGTGTGATCAGAATTACTCACAGACTTAAATATTGCCTCTGTTCAAGGCCTAAATGCAGAATGAGCATATTAGAAGTCACTAAAGTGTCATTGCTACGATAATGAAAATTGTGTATGTTTTGCTTTTATTAGTCCATTAGCACATCATGGTTAACTTAGCATTGGCCCAATGGTTACGTGCAGTTGTAACCACCCATACTGCTAGCAGAATAAGCTGATCGGCTTGCAGAAATGGGATTTCCCCCCCCCTCTGAGCAGGAGGTTTTGTTCCTGGAGCTCTGACTCTGGTTCCCCCGGCTGTCCGGCTGGACCCACAGCATCCCCCAGCTCCTTCAGCATCTCCCCTGCATCTCCGCTTTTCTGCATAGGTCCCAGGGGTGCCAGGGCACGGCCTCCTCCTTCCAGCCCCTCTTCTGTTCTCCTCCTTCCAGCCCCTCTTCTGTTCTCCTCCTTCCAGCCCCTCTTCTGTTCTCCTCCTTCCATCCACTCCTCCGTTCTCCTGACAAGCACTAATGAGAGCCAGGGATGGTTGCAGGAGCTTAAATTCCCTGTTGTCGCCCCAGATCGGAGGTGCTTGGCTAATTTTTATAGCATGTGTTATAGCATGCTTCTTTCATAGCATGTATTTACCAGGGAGTTAGGGGAGAGTGTTGTTTTCCCTGTAAGAATACCTCCCTTTTTAAGCCACATTTCTCAGTTGTTGCGTGTGGTTTGTGGTTGTTCAGAAGTGGGTAAGGTTTTCAGAGCGGGAGGTCCTAACCTGATCATCTTTTCCAAACCCTGTTTCTCTGTTGAGAAAGAAGTCCCTAATGTCAGTATTTTCAGGCTGCTTTGGATTTTTCCCTCTCAGGCTAGCTAACTCCTGCCACCTGACTGTGTGTCTACTGGATGCTCATCATGTTTAGAAAAGACTTACTAGACTGCTGGCATCAGCTCCCATACCTTTGGCTAGATACTCTTAGTTTTCTCTTAGCGTATTCTTAGAATGGATTGTGTTAAACTTCTTTCTTTAATACCAGTTACTCTCAAGTGACAGATTGTCATTTCAGAGCTTTATTTTGTGATCTAGATAAAATAGGTTCGTAATCTACCTACTTTAATTCCAGATTAAAAAATAAAGTAATACACTTCATAGCCGTGGCTAAACCCAAAATCTTGGCCTTGTTTTGCATTTTGAAAGGTGTTACTGGCTGGGGGCGGGCACACGCGCTGGGGGAGTGGGCAGCTGGAGGTGGGCAGGGAGGGCAGGACAAGCATCCTTCAATGCAGAGTTCTAGAGTTATCTGTCTAAAGCACATGAGTCTGCCATGTTTTTGTTTTCCAGTAACAGCTTTCTTGTTGTGTTTTGTTGTGTTTCCAGCAGTCCTATGCACCAGCTCCCCACCCCATGGCTCCTCCCAGCCCCAGCACAAACAGCAGCAACAACAGCAGCAACAACAGCAGCGGAGAGCAGTTGAGTAAAACCAACCTGTACATTCGAGGCCTTCCACCCGGCACCACTGACCAGGACCTTATCAAGCTGTGCCAGCCGTAAGTGCACTTCAAATACTCTGTGTCTCCGGGTAGGAAAATGTCAAAGCTGGCCTTTCAGTGTACACTTACCTATGGCCGCAGAAAGAGATCAGAAGCCTCCCACACTCGAAGGTTAACTGTTAGTCCTTTAGTTTGAACAGCTAATTAATGCTTGCTGAAAATCTTCCATTAATGAGTTTTGAGGGATAGGGAGGTGAGGGTCTTCACATTGAGTTATGGGGTTTTTTTTAATCTGGTTTCTTTCTAATGTTAAAAGGAGAATTTGCATGGCAAGAAAACCTCCCTAATGGCAGATTTTGTAGTTACAATGATCTGTGAATCATAACCCAGTGCACAGCAAAACATGGGTGTTCCCGCCTCAGTCATTTATCACATCTTTTGATTGCTGTGTCACACATTGCCAGGCTCAAAGATTGAGAAGCATGAAACTCACTGAAGGTGGCCTTGTAGCAAACATCTAATTAACTGCAGTTCCACCGGAAACTGATGATGTAGAAAGTAGCACCTTCTATCTCCCTGTTTATCTCGAGAGTCATGTTTGCAGATTGTGCTGATAAATATCAGTTTTGTTGTGTTTTATTCCTATTGAAACTAGAGAGGCAGCAGGGAGGAGCTCTTTGCTCCTCATACATCATCAACAGAACTGTTTCCTAAAATGCTGCACCGTGTTACCCCTCCTCACTCGCCGCAATGTTGTGGCTAATATGAGTAGAATGAGAACCTGATTGGATTTCCGAAGTCTTGGTTATTATTGATGACATATAGGAGGGGAATAATCTAGTTAGAGATTCCAAACAGAGATTGCCTGGGTGGAATTTTGGATAGCGCATTTTTTTGTGTTGAAATAAGACCATGGAGAGGTTTGAAAAATAAAAATCCACCCTTGTTATCATGCAGAACTGCAGTGTTTTTGTCACAGAATAGTCTGTTCCAGAAGACAACAGCGTCTCTGGTATTTTTCATCACAAATCAGCCTTTAAATAGTGATCAATAAATGAAGTTTGGTAAAATAAGGAACGTTCTGGGGCTGGTCTACTGCCTTGAATCCAAATGACACTTAGTTTTGAAGCTTGTAACAAGGGTAGCAATTTAATGGGATGTTACAATTTTATGTCATTGTGCCTTTCCTGACTTTGAACAAAAATGCTGAAAGACTTCCTTAAGTATGCTTTTTGGGGATGTGGGTGGCCAGGGCTGGGACTAGCAGTCTTACTGAAGTGGTATCTGAACTTTAGCAAAATTATGTGCGCTTGAAGCTCTTCCCTGTGACTTTCTCTTACTAAAGCTACTAGAGGCAGAACTGGCTCACTGTTCACAGGAGTACAGCGTGCTGATTTTTCATATTTCATGCAAGCTGAATTGCGAGTGTACCTGTCTGACATTTGTACAAACTACATTCATTGACACTTCCCGCTTGTGACAGTCACAGATAATCCCAGTTCAAGGGCCAGATCCTCTGTAGGTATAAATTGACTGTAGGCTGCTGACGTTCAAAAAGCTATTTTGCTAGACATCTTCTGGCAGTCTGACCCTTTCTGAGTTCAGACAAATGCTTTCAGCGGAGCAGCTGATCAGGACTGAACTAACTATTCCTAGAGGAGCGTCGTGGCTTTGGTGCTTAGTGCTGCAGTCACGGTGTGAGGCACGAGCCGGCTGTGGCACGAGCAGTGTTACTCCCATCATGAAGTTCAGAGAGCGTGTCCCTACCCCTTGTCTGCCTATGGGAAGTGCACGTCAAGTATCTGAGAGCTTCCTTCTGGCACTGTGGCAAAATTTATAATGTACTCCACTAAACTTAATCTGGTCTGTGATTAGAGGGCTTTGTCTTGCTATCATGGGGTTCCTGTATGAACAGATTAAGAAAAATGTGGACATTCATTTTGCTGATTTTCCATCCTTTGGAAGTGAGAAGAAACCTGATAGTTGTTCTGTCTTTTTTTTTTCAGAATATAAAAAGTATTTATCAAACTAAAAGGGAAAGACAATACAGGGAGACTTAAACATCTGAAGACTGTCATGGAAGCATGTAGATTTTAAAGTAATATATTACTTTAAAAGGTAAAGACATTTTCTTTACCTTTGCAGATGGTTACACAGTAGAGGTGGATAAAGGTCCAAATCCCTTCTGTTCTTCCCCTCTGACATGCAGTCTGTATAGCAGCAACTTGCTGCTATGTGAGCAGGACATACATTGTCTCTTCCGAAATGGTTGTCTTCTCTAGAACCTTCTCTCAGCTTACGTGGCTGGAGTCTCATCACACGCTGAAGGCTTCCTGTGAACAGGTATTCACAAAGCAGCAGAAGATGCTGGCTCTTAGGCTTTCTGCATCGAAGTATTAGTGTAATTTGCTACAAGATGTGAGGTGAAAGCCTGAATTCTGATCTGTAAACCATCTTATTATTTTGCAGTACAAGATTTTTGGAGAGCTGCATTTAAGGGAGGTATTCAGCAGAGCTAGTTTATGCCCAGGGCGCTGGTTCCCCAGGGCTAGCTGCCAGAGCCTAAAATGGGCCCTTCTGAACCCATTTCCTCCACTTCAGCATGTGACAAGGCTGCCAGCAGTTTAACTGTCACTTGCAATGTCTGACATTTGGCAGGTCTGAGGAATAATGTTCTAAACCCACAATATTTCTCTCTCAGAACTACAGGGAATTCTAGAAATGCTTATGGCTATGTACATTTATCATAGCCCATCCTGTTTCCAGGTTTATTCCAGCAAGGAGGCCACCCTCTAAGTGACGTGTAACATTTGTTATTTTAATTGCATTTTGCCAGGTGGGTTATGGAAGAGAAACCCTTTAATAAGAAGTGTTTGATGAAGTATGGGGCTGTTTTGGTGAATCCTGCCAGGTTTTCTGTATTTCTGCTGTGAGTTTTTAGGTGGCGTGTATCGCACACTAAACAGAGAACAGCAGACTGGAGTACCATTGATGCTTGAAGTGCAGAGTCCATTACACGTGATGTCAGACATTTCTGACAAATGTTCCGACACTATCAAACCTTTTATCAATTTAAGAGTAACCTTGTCACAGTAATCTGTCAAACTGTTCATATAACTAAAGGAAAACAAGTCATCATAGGCTGTACAGTAGCTGAGTAAATAATAAAAAAAAAAATTGCTGCTGGAAGATTTTCTTTTTGTGTGGTTCTGATCCTCAGTAGTTGGTTTAACGTGTGTCCAGCAAAATTGCATCAAATTCTCTTTTGCAGCAGGGAGCTGTTAGGTTGCACTGTATCTTTTGGGACTTTATACAATTACTCTGTCAAAGGGCACATTGGAAAAGAGTGATTAGGAATGTTTAGCAAGCACGAATATGTTGTTCTTTTTCATATATATATATCTTCTGGGTTTTCATAAACACTGAGTAAAGGCACTTCCAAAAATGGACCTAGACCTCTCGTAACATTTCTTGAAGTTTTTAAAAAAAGAGGCATTATACCTATCTGCAATCATATTGATAATCAGAAATTATTGTCTAAAAGTTTGATTTTTAAATATTTCATGAAGATAATAGTAAATGTCACATCATTAGCATTTATTTCTCTGAGGTACAGTTTCTCTGATGGTGCAGTATTACACACCATTATACATGTATCTTTGCAGTCGAAATATGCTTTTCATCAAAAAGATGATCAACCTTAAGATGTAAAATTATAGATTATAGACAGAAAAATGTGCATGGTTTGTCACTGTACAAGCAAAATATAAATGAGTATCTTTGAAATATTCATAATCTGTCACTAATTTTCATGCACGGTATTATATTTCATCCAGAGGAATTCAAAAATTCCCTTAAAAACATACACAGATGGCTTAGTCCCCTGTTGGTGTACTGGACACATCCCATTCTTACTAACTACATCCCGGTGGAGATAGATTGAGGGAAATCTCATGCACAAATTAAACATTTGAGCTTTATTACTTCGAAACATTTTTCATTTCAAAAATTCACAGTGTGTCTCTCAGGATTTTGGTCTTTCTGTCTGTCTTTTCTTACATGTTTGCACTGAAGAAGACTTAGACTCAAAACTTTTTTAAAAGATAAAATAAGTTTTGAAGACTAGAATGATAATTTGGGAAAATAAGCATGAACTATCTCTTCCCTTCTCCCCCCAATTTGAAAAGAAAAGTTGGCTTAAAAAGAACTACGTATGACTGAAAAAAAGCCTTGTGCATTGCACTGTTAAGATATTGGCATGTATTCAAAAGATGATCCCTGCCCATCTTGATTCAGTCATGAATTTTTCATGCCCAGTCAATAGTCTGAAAAAAAGCTACTTCAGACTTCTGGTATATCATAGTTTAAACTTATACGTGTTTTTGTCCTGATTTAGTCCTCTCCCCGTGCTCCTGTAATGTACCTCCAGAAATCTTCTGTTTCCATCTGCTTTGTTCTTACTGTTTGGATTAAATATCTCATCACTCTTCAACAAGTTTTTACTTTTTTGTGGTCCAGAGTAAGATTAAAGGACTTAATTAAAACAATAGTCAAAATATCTTAAGTGTGAAGAGGAGCAAGTCTGCTGCTCAGACATACAGAGTTTCTAGATCCATGTTATGTGCAGATTACTCAAGGTTTTGGGTTGGGTTTTGTTGTGTTGGGGTTTTTTTCTTCTTTTTTTTTTTTTTTTCTTACACTAAACCAACCTCATTCCTTTAATCTTTCTTGACATGTTTTCTAAAGGTCTTATAACTCTTGTTTTATTCTCTCTTGCCCAAATTGCCTTCCACCTTTAGATTATCAATCTAAAGAGTCAGAATTCAATCTAAAATATCTGCTGCTTTTAACCACATTTTTTTTCCCACTTTCTGAGAAAAAACAATCATTTCTGCTGGGTTGCAGCTTTATTTCTGCTATGTTGTTTCCCCCACTGATGATCTGGCAACTTACATTTCATATCACCACCAAATTGTGCTTTTAAATTAACATAATAGTTACACAAGAAAAGACTCAGTGTGTTGGGGTTTTTTTCTTTTTTTTTTTTTTTTTTTTCT